TTAAATATGGTACTGCTATAATTTGGATTGTCCTTTTGTTAGTTCCAAAAGTTTTCACCTGAGTAGCTTTTCTAGCTCCATGAGAGTTTTGTCAGACTATGCCACACTAGCTACTTGACTCTTGAGGGAGAATTTCACTCCTGATTAATGCTGGCGGGAAGCCCCGAACCTTTAGACGCTTTCGAAGAAAGATGGCAAGACGTGATGAAGTCACTGGATCTCAATGTGTAATCAACTTCCTTGTATCAGTAGGACTAAGACAGAAACTGGAGCATCAGGACAATGAGCTTACTCAGTGTCACGCGTAGCTGTAGTCACAGTCAGTCATTTGTATCGTATTAGTAGTTTCGTACCGATCAACTTGTCCGAAACGAGAATTAAAAACGATTATGCGGTGAAGATGTATTCTAACATTAGATCAGAACAATCATTATTGGAATCGCGTTAAGACAAGAGTTATCGATTGTCACGTTGTACGCCGGTTGTAAGTGAGCTACATGTTGAACCTTGCTAATTTGTTTGAAAATATAATTAAACTAGATCAAGTAACCACATTTGTTCACGTAAATGGATAATGTGGTGACGCTAGTCACATCGGACATTTCGTGAAGGATTATTTGCACATCAAATCTGTCACAGTGACTGTTTCAGGGGATGTGAGCAGTACCCGTGCAACCAGAGAGGTTCTACTGTGTGGTTTCCTAAGTGAGTCTTTCCCAAACAAGTAGTGGAGAGGATAACCGCAAGAGTCAAATCTGCTTCATCGATGGGTCCATTCCCCATGGGCGAACTACTTTACAGTGACTTGAATAGTCAGCAGACTGAACAGATTCTAGCATAATTACCGAGCACTGGTTAAAACTGCACAGTTTATCCCTTCTGCATTACAATGGTAAAAAACCAGGCTTCATTCACTTGATGTGCGGAAGCGGCGGAACAGCCCAAGTTTCATCGGAAAACCTCCACCGCTCAGCAAGACACTCCGTTGTTAACGGTTTTGACTAGCAGCTCTTTTTGCTAGTATGGTAACTAAAGCACGAGACAGTTCTTCGCGCGTGATGTCTGCACGACTACTGTGCTTTTTCTCTTCGTGATTTTAGGACAAGTAGGGAAGATAATTGTATACTTCTTTTGGGTTTGTCTCAGACAAACCAACTTTGAAGCAAATTTCTTGTTGCAATTCCAATTATCGTGTCGAAACTCAATTTGGGATTATTGAACTTATCGAGCATCCAATCGTTGTTTTGGAGTATTCTTTGTAAGTAATGTACAACACAGCCCAACACAAAGACAACTAGTTTACTTGCAGTCAGTTTTTGACTGAGATCGAAGGTCGGAGTATTCGAATGGAGTACACCTCAGAACAAGCCAAATTTGGCGTGCTATACCTTTACTTTCGTGAGTTAGTATGTTGCAGATACCAGTTCCCTAGTTTATCTTGAAGTTCCGGGGCCTGTACTCTAGTTTTAGTCAGATTAGAATTGTTTCTAGCAAGCTTTTTTTGTGAATGGCGGTCATTGTCTTCTGAATGAATGCTCTATCGTACTTGGCAGCCCTTAATTTTCCGCTCTCGACGTACACTAATTGTGGTTGACTTATAGTGTAAACCATCTCTCCTAATGAGAGTGAACTTTTTCAGTTAGTGTAACAGTATCGTTGAACAGCATCCACTAAAAATAACTGATTTTGGAAAACTAATAGGTACGTCCTCACCCAGAGCATAGATTAACCATAGAGATTCCCTTAATTCTTTCGTTAACGCTAGTGTAACTTGAAAACGAGGGTATTCTGTCAGAAACTCTGATTCCGTTTTGTTAAAAGTGGCTGTATTATTCCCGCTAACAACCGCTCAGAAATATGAATAATTCACGCGATGACAGAAACTTCCACATGGGAATTCTGTACTTGACCACGTGACCACGTGATGTGGGTGTCCTGGCTGAGGCATGAGTAGTGCTGTGCTCTGCTAGAGTGAGAAGTAAACACAGTTCTCACAAATTCCTCATGACCAAACGGTACAAACTTCAGCCACTAGCTGAGAAGTCGCAGGTTCTACTGTCTTTCGGGATTCGTGTGATGCACATTGCCGGCGTTTCTCAACAAAGATGGAACAGCTGTACAATGCTTCTCGGTTTTTCGGCATAGATCGGTTGCACTTATAAGATGAAGTGCTCACTGAACTTCACGGTACTGTTGTTGTTTGCTGGCCACACATAGCTTCAGTCAAGGTTCAGCTAACAACCGCGGTCATAAAAACATGTTCGCTTAATACCACTGACCCCTCTTTCCCAATCTATCCCCCATCTCTATTTGGAAAACAGGCAGTGATTTAGTTGAGTCATGAGGTTAGGTCACGCATTCGGTATAGATATTTGTTGGAATTACGCGTTCACTGAGGCAATTCCTTGATGAGAAACCGAGAAGCAATATATAACTGTTTCATCCAAATTAAGAATAGTCAGCAATGCGCACCCCACAAAACTCAGGGTTCCCAACGCTCGATCTTCCGACCACTAGTTGAAAACTTAGGCGTTCGGGTTCGAGTGGCTGAACAGCAGTTCAGTCAGCTCTCCCTGTTAAAAATTACTTTCATCATGTCAGAATACATTCTGTGTGCATTTCACTCACCATACCAAATTGTATGCCGTGGCAGCTCAGTAAAAAAGGAGGACTATTCAGTGGCAGATCGTGGGACGTGAATAATTAAACCAACAGGGCACCCAGCCTCACCATCATCAGTTGTCAGGAGCTTACGCTTATGGGCTGGCCGAATTCCCCGTAACTTCGACTGACATCGTCAAGTAGACGGGACAAGAGTATCGCATGAAGAATTTTCAAAGAACCCAAGGCAGGAAATTCGAATTATCGGATCAACAGAGCAGTGGATCGTGAAGGAGTCTTCGATTTGTGCTCACCGGGCTGTGCAAATGCGAATGTGCTCACGCCGTTCTATATGCAAAAGCGCCAGTTCATTCACAGTATCAACCATTGTTCAATATAAGAAGTTTCAGTGGCTAAAAGTGAACGGATGCACGTCACAGCACCAAAAGACATATTCGAACTTAGTCGGCTGATTGTTAACCCTAAGTCGCGTCCACTCGAAGTGCAACAAATGTCTAAAGATACGAATCTTGTGAATCAACTGATGTTTATTATGTACCAGTGATGTGTAACGTGCAGGCTGGTTTGCTGTGCCATTTTCAATGATGCCTTTTCTGATTTTGTGTATATTCGTTTTCAGAAGGGATTTGCTGTTGGTGGACAGTTAGGATTTTCCTCTTTATGAAGTGTGATGTGTGTGATTGCGAATGTGATTGAGTTCGACTGCCTTTTAAACGCCCTTCTCGTATGCCACACTAAAACGATACCAAACTGAATCAGAAGCATACGAGGACGTAGTGTTCGTTTTTTGTGAACCAAATTTTTCAGGAAATAAATAATCAGTAGAACGAAAAGTATGGAGCTTGCTCTCCGCCAGCAATATGACTGGACAGTTTGATTTGCTGAGCGATAAATTCCCTTACGTGCCTCAGCGCGGTAATAAGTATATAGTGGCGACAGGATAACTGAAACCGGGCTGTGCATCAAGAAAGGGTGGATGCCTGTGCGTTCAACCTCTGAACAACAGAAGCTGGATACTCTCGAAAAGCCATTGGTGAAACACTTTGATCCAATGCGTAACTAAGCTGCAGGTCCCTGATGTTAACTAGCTGTTTTTAGTGATACGAATGACCAATCAAAGCATAACTCTGGACCAACTTCGAAGTGGTTCGTAGAATAGTACTTTTAATAAATGTGAGTATTTCCAGCGTGACCAGGATATACGTACATTTGAGAACCTAGTACGATTGAAAGCTCATCACTTTTATACTACGTGCCACCTACTCTTCGAATCCTTCCTTTTAAGTGACAACACCTTTTTCTATGGCTCGTGTGCATTCATGACCGTGTCTGGTACGAACGACACATTTGGTTAAATGCTGTAAATGTTCCGTTTTAATAAAATTCCTTTAACAGCGGAATACTGGGATGCAGGACTGTTTGGGAGACGGCAGCATAACTCTGACCGTAAGCCGCGTGCAGCCGCGGTCAAAAATGAAGCACAACCTCTGGTGATCACACACTACTCGTAGAGTTGCTGAAATGCCCACCATCGATCCAGCCTTTTGTGGTTCATTAAGTATGAGCACACTAGTGCAATAAGTGCTCAAGCAGGACTTAATGCCGGGTAAATTTTAATGACTGCGTCTAAACACTCATTTTCAGGAGGAGACAGATCGGTCGTGGACTGAAAATAATTTTCATTCTCGTCAAGAAAATGCATCGAGATGCATTGGATATCGTACCAACCTCCAAACGGGAGACGCCTTCATACAGCATTCTAATTTGAAGGACATCACATCAGCTGATATTCACCCTCCTGTTATAACCTAAATACGGGTTCAATAGCACATGTTCACCGACTAGCCAGAACGAAATCAAATAATATTTATCTTAACCTCAGAGACTGATGTAAATAACCTGAGTAGCTTCTTATTCTATCAGACATTAAGGTCTGTCGGAAGCTGATGAGGCTGATTTAAACTTAGTTCGTGCGGACCCCAAAATTACCGGTGAATGATCACATGGCTTTCGGATACTGGTGAAAGGAAGAAGGCCTTCGCTCTCGCACAAATCTTCCTGAACTCTCCTATATACTCCTTGACTCGTGCTCAGATAATAATGATATAGTAATATAATAATGGTAATAAGTCTCATTTTTCAACAAACGCGAAGTGGACTAATGAGCAAACCACTCTACTCACATACTTCATCAGTAGTATCCACCGTTTTACTGGTATAATCACGTCATGATCCTTGTTAATCGTATTGTGACCATTATTGAACACTATGTTTTGTTTAGTGTGACATACTTTGAGACCGGAAGTAAACGGGTACAATTAAAGCGGTGGAGAGTTACCGGAAGTGATAAACCGGAGTTAATTGCTTCCGAAAAATAAAAGAATGGCTGTGCTCGTAAAGTCATCGGGAATGCGGGGTTGAGCTTAGCACAAGCTACGACCAACTTTCAAAACTGTCTGGTGGCGATAATTAACTGTATGCCGCATTTTGCGTTAACCACAACTTGGTTATACACCTTTATTTGTGGGCAAGTATTAAAAATGGAAAAAGCCAAATAACGGTACAAGCCTCACAAATGAGTGGTTAATTAAAGACAATTTTTTCGACGTGAACCTTAATGTCACCCATTACCGGTGTCAAACTATCGTCGCCGTGACCACCGTATTACGCAACAGTACGGGCCTGAAATGTACCCCATTCAATAATTTTATCGGACTCAAATTATCTATATAGAGTATATAAGCCTTCGTAACTATCACAGCAATATTAGGTAGGAATAAATCCAACTGTTGGAGTGCACATTGTCCTGAACTCCCATCGGCCTTGGTGGTGTGTACTACGAAACATTGCCATTCGACTACAGAATCTCGCGATAAGTTTCGTTTAAGAATCCAGTGGAAGGAACTCATACAGTGCCCTGATTAACACCTCCATGAGTCAGCTCCAGCTACCAGTTTGCCCAATATAATTGTTGAGGGCCCTTGGGCATTGGCACAATTGTTGCAGAAATTATGCATTGCAAACTTCTCATATTACTTCCATGAATGTTTCATGAAGGCGTGAATCAAAATACAAAGAACATTTGTGAATTGTTAGTTACAAAGGACGTCCTATTGTATACCATTGTCAGGTAATTACGCTGTAACCTAAAGTCTACCCGATTAACTCCTATTTGCCAGGGCGCAGTTTCAAATCCAATAGAAACGGATGGCCTGCGTCAATCGTTGTTAAACGTAAGCCAACTGAACCTTAACCCATACAGTTCGATGTCGAAATGACATATTTATTTGTGTATTGAATGTAGATCCTGATTCGAATGTGGTGTGCACCGTCACGTCAGAAGCATCCGGAAAACTCATGGTAGCTGACTTCTGTAGGAGAGGAAGCTGGTTTCATTTCTGCTGTCTATGGCCAACGATCCACAACAAAGCCGCTGTAGAACATTTGGCCTTGTATGGTTCCACTGACGGAGTCCTCTATGCGGCAGACACTCCAGTGTGACGAATATCGGTGCCTTAATAAGTCGGTCGCCGTTTTAGTTCTTTTAACTGGTTGAGCAGTTTGATAATGATAGGATGTGACACCTTCATAATTCCATGTCAGAGTTGGATGGCACAATCACAAATCCCTCTACATGCACGTGAAAGGGGTCAGATGGAATAAGGACACTCTGAAAACATCAACAGTTCTTTACTGTGCCGAAGCAACCAGCTTGAGAAATTTTTATCATAAAGGCAAGGACTTTTAATGTGTTTGAAGATAGGTTTAACCGTCGCCTCGTCTCAGGCTGAGGTCGATTACGGAAAACATCCTTTCGGCTGTGGAAACCATCTTTCGAGATTGTTATTTCAACAGCTGATTTATCTTTTTTTCCGCGAATGGCTGGGCTTAACCTGCTAACATGTTTTCCATTCCTGTCAGTTACAATTCCAAGTTCACAGTGAAGTATTTAACCGCATGTATTCCGAGTTCAACAAGTGATCAGGATTGGGGAGTTCCTGCAGCTTCTTGGGACCAGTCTTCCTAAAGATGCTGTCATCACTGTCCAGGCATGCAGTCAAAATTACCTAACTACCCCGGTGGTCTTTTTTGTCCCTTCAACAATAAAATGCAACAAAAGCGTTCCCATACGTCTTTTTAAGGAGCTAAGGCAGACGTCGAGAAATACACTCATTTGCAAATCAATTTGGTTTTCACGAAGGACTCAATTGAATCTCTCGTCTATGATATTCTAAAACTGAATGTGCTGCACACAGGCCGCCTCATGATTCAATTGGCATGATATTCGAAATATATCGCAGTATATTTTCAAAAAGGAAACTATTCACAAGGTTACTGAAAACGCTTCGACAGCCTACGACTGGTTTCGCCCTTCTTGGGGCATTTTGGCTCAGCGTTGATACAGCCCTTCTGCAACACGATCAGTCGAAGCACAATATACACGTGGATCTCATATGTGTCTGGCTCAAAGCTTGTGTTCATACGAATAGAGTTGAGAATCCAAAGGATAGGCAGCCTGGTTAATTTCACTGGCCTGTGAATGTAAGCAATGTAGTGTAGGTTGCATCGAACCGCAGTGAGACTTTTTTGATCAGTTTGACAAAATCTATGAAAACGGAGTTCAAGCCGACGTAGTGCTGTAAAACAATGACAATTGGAAGGCTTGGTTTAGAAATTATTTGAATAGTTTACGGCTTCCAATTAGTCAGTTTTGTTTTGCATGCTAATACCTTTCGGGTTCAAACAATAATGTTTTTTTTTCAGAAAGCTATGAAGCCGAACTTGTTTAGTTCCGGTGTTGTTCGGCCCACGTTTTGGTTTGGCTTTCCAAAACCAGACAGCTGGTTGCGTGACGCGATTGAAAACATACCGAATATGTTATGCAGTGTTTTTTGTTTCCGCAAACAGGAGTTTGGTTTCAACAAACAGAAGATCTATGTATGCTATAATTATTTGAATCTGTGGAACACGGATTCAAGTTCGGACAGCCTCGTTCTGAGTAGATGGGTTGTCTCAAAGCGACAACCGTGCTGGATTTAGCTGGATGAGCAAACGTGAAACCAGTAAATGATTGGAGATTTTTCGATTAAAACAATCCACAAATACTTGGTAATTTTTGTTGCTCATTTGAGGCACTACACTCAAAAGTAACCGAGCAAATCTCGAGTACGAGGGAGTTCCCCTCGATGTACATGACCAACAACATGACTTACATGGACAACAAAGGAAAGAGCAGTTGATTTTAGCCGATCTGTTTGTCTAATGAACATTTTCTATCAGTGAAATTCCCGCACTCCAATATGCCTGCAAAACATACCACGTCGAATCGTCCAGGAACTTGAAACGACTAGGTCTGATAGGCCACGTTAGGTTCCTCTTGAGTCGTTTTTCAAGCATTAGATCTCTTCATTTACTTTGAGATTAAGCATGGTTTTGTTGCGGTGCTCATGTGAAATCTGATTACCATTTTCTCAAAACAGCATGACGTAGAATGCATTCCTTTGCTTTCATTGCAGTTCCAATAAAGATTGTAATAGGCAATAGTAGGAACAGAATTGACTGTCTTTTAACACACAAGTGGTTTCAGAGCTTTCAACAGTCAAAATGTGGAACAGGGATTCTGTACGTGCTGAATGCCTTGATGGAAATGGACATTCCCTGCACCAAAGAGTGTAAACTACATCCACTCTAGTCAGAAAATGAATGAAGGATAACTACCATCTGCAACGCATCGTATTGAAACCTGTGTTCAACTATCTCGATAAAACAGATAGCACGCATGGAAAAGCTTCTGCCTGAGAGGTGCCGAATACTACACGCAATGTGATTTATGATTCTGTATAAGGCGAAATTGTTCGGGAATACAGCTTCCCGATTCGGATCCATGGTAGGTGTGAGAGTAGATGGATAGTGAGTGGAGGGATTTCGCCCATTAGCGTTGTTGATGAAGTTTGCTAGAGCTAGGCGCTTCGCCTCTCGAAGGCTCGCGTTTCCGGAAGGCCTGTTCCCTCGGATATTCAGTCTTGGCATCAAGCTGTGGCGCAGTCTGCCGAGCACGATAGTTAGAAGCTCCCGGCTTCGTCATGGTGACCAGGTGGTTTTCTACCATGGTTACTATGATCAATAGGAGAATTTCATGCATATTCTGCAGCCCTGCTGGGTCACGCACGATGCTGGGTGTATTAGACTTAATCAGGTCACAAGGAGACTCGGAAAACTCATCCATCATTTGGGATACACTTATTCCGAAGAGTTGGAAGCACCTACTCAGACGTCTCTTATCTAGCCCGAACTAATTACTATACGGGTGCGCTGAGCAACCGTGACAGATGTAAATGTGATCACGGATGAATAAGAAATGATTGTGTAGAACGAGAGAAATCGGAAGTACGCTTCTGACTCCTATCTAAGACCTATCTTTCATCGATTCTGATGTTAACTTTTTGGCCTACAAACCAATGGTCATTTCATATCGAGGGATCTGCATATAGCCCTCATTATTGCAATTGAATTTTTCACCTGATAACGTGACGCTCACCTTACACCAGAGTGCAAGTGTTGACTGTGCTAGCCTCAAACAGCATTTAGCATCGTTTTTCTTTCCCTCAATTGCTAATCTTGGCACATGTGTCTCCTTACAAAACTTGCGTTGACTGGAGACCTTTGATAGCACGCCCACCAATGGAATGTTCCCCTCTTTTCTACTGTTCTCCTGTTCGTCATTCCTGATCTATCCCTAGGTTTCACTTGTGGTTGTGGCAGCGCAGTGATGTGATAATGTGATAGAGGAAAACTTAAAACTTATGTACCCTTCACGAGGGACCAGTAAACACCAGGTCGTCTGACATGTAATAGCGCACTTGAAAGTGATCTACTTCTGCGAGCTCAACAATAACTCCAGGCCATCATCGTGTTGTTGATCCTTATTGGAAGAACTTCTACGAGGCTGAGGACCGTCAGAGCAGGAGCAGGTTGACCGATGGATTGGTCGTTTTCACAAGTGTCAAATGCTGATGGTTTCGACGAATCCAATCACGATTTTTCCTGATTTTAAAACTACTTAGTGGGCTAATTAAAACTTGAGTGTTCCATCACCATTTATTTTCTTTCTCGGATCTCCTCAGATGGGCTAGTCCCCGAATTATCATCACTCGTATTTGAACATCAATCTGGAGGAGCTCACAGATGAAAGTTCACCCTCGAATTAAGATGTCTTAACTGGAGACTTAAGTGAATCTCAGAGAGAGAGACACGCAGAGATACGCTTAAATTTGGAATCCTTCTACGATGTCGTTTGATATGTTAACTGTTGCTACGTTACCAGAGACATATTTGCCGTTTCACTGGAAAACCTCTACCCAACATTTCGCTGTGTGATCACTGTGAAGATGTTTTCACGCACTATTCACATTCAAAGCGCTTTTATTAGTTTACATATCCCTCGTATTTTCAATCAACCCTTTCCTTTTCCTTATAGGGGACGGCTCAAAGACAATTCCACCTAGACACATCGAGTGGAAGATTCTCTCTCAAATCTAAACTCGATCGGGAGAAATCGTCTCAGGCTGAGGTCGATTACGGAAAACATCCTTTCGGCTGTGGAAACCATCTTTCGAGATTGTTATTTCAACAGCTGATTTATCTTTTTTTCCGCGAATGGCTGGGCTTAACCTGCTAACATGTTTTCCATTCCTGTCAGTTACAATTCCAAGTTCACAGTGAAGTATTTAACCGCATGTATTCCGAGTTCAACAAGTGATCAGGATTGGGGAGTTCCTGCAGCTTCTTGGGACCAGTCTTCCTAAAGATGCTGTCATCACTGTCCAGGCATGCAGTCAAAATTACCTAACTAACCCGGTGGTCTTTTTTGTCCCTTCAACAATAAAATGCAATAAAAGCGTTCCCATACGTCTTTTTAAGGAGCTAAGGCAGACGTCGAGAAATACACTCATTTGCAAATCAATTTGGTTTTCACGAAGGACTCAATTGAATCTCTCGTCTATGATATTCTAAAACTGAATGTGCTGCACACAGGCCGCCTCATGATTCAATTGGCATGATATTCGAAATATATCGCAGTATATTTTCAAAAAGGAAACTATTCACAAGGTTACTGAAAACGCTTCGACAGCCTACGACTGGTTTCGCCCTTCTTGGGGCATTTTGGCTCAGCGTTGATACAGCCCTTCTGCAACACGATCAGTCGAAGCACAATATACACGTGGATCTCATATGTGTCTGGCTCAAAGCTTGTGTTCATAAGAATAGAGTTGAAAATCCAAAGGATAGGCAGCCTGGTTATTTCCACTGGCCTGTGAATGTAAGCAATGTAGTGTAGGTTGCATCGAACCGCAGTGAGACTTTTTTGATCAGTTTGACAAAATCTATGAAAACGGAGTTCAAGCCGACGTAGTGCTGTAAAACAATGACAAATGGAAGGCTTGGTTTAGAAATTATTTGAATAGTTTACGGCTTCCAATTAGTCAGTTTTGTTTTGCATGCTAATACCTTTCGGGTTCAAACAATAATGTTTTTTTTTCAGAAAGCTATGAAGCCGAACTTGTTTAGTTCCGGTGTTGTTCGGCCCACGTTTTGGTTTGGCTTTCCAAAACCAGACAGCTGGTTGCGTGACGCGATTGAAAACATACCGAATATGTTATGCAGTGTTTTTTGTTTCCGCAAACAGGAGTTTGGTTTCAACAAACAGAAGATCTATGTATGCTATAATTATTTGAATCTGTGGAACACGGATTCAAGTTCGGACAGCCTCGTTCTGAGTAGATGGGTTGTCTCAAAGCGACAACCGTGCTGGATTTAGCTGGATGAGCAAACGTGAAACCAGTAAATGATTGGAGATTTTTCGATTAAAACAATCCACAAATACTTAGTCGGTAATTTTTGTTGCTCATTTGAGGCACTACACTCAAAAGTAACCGAGCAAATCTCGAGTACGAGGGAGTTCCCCTCGATGTACATGACCAACAACATGACTTACATGGACAACAAAGGAAAGAGCAGTTGATTTTAGCCGATCTGTTTGTCTAATGAACATTTTCTATCAGTGAAATTCCCGCACTCCAATATGCCTGCTGCGCCACACACGGACTGGCCCTAAGTAATTGATATGCTACGAAAAAATTCTGCAAAACATACCACGTCGAATCGTCCAGGAACTTGAAACGACTAGGTCTGATAGGCCACGTTAGGTTCCTCTTGAGTCGTTTTTCAAGCATTAGATCTCTTCATTTACTTTGAGATTAAGCATGGTTTTGTTGCGGTGCTCATGTGAAATCTGATTACCATTTTCTCAAAACAGCATGACGTAGAATGCATTCCTTTGCTTTCATTCCAGTTCCAATATTGTAATAGGCAATAGTAGGAACAGAATTGACTGTCTTTTAACACACAAGTGGTTTCAGAGCTTCCAACAGTCAAAATGTGGAACAGGGATTCTGTACGTGCTGAATGCCTTGATGGAAATGGACATTCCCTGCACCAAAAAGTGTAAACTACATCCACTCTAGTCAGAAAATGAATGAAGGATAACTACCATCTGCAACGCATCGTATTGAAACCTGTGTTCAACTATCTCGATAAAACAGATAGCACGCATGGAAAAGCTTCTGCCTGAGAGGTGCCGAATACTACACGCAATGTGATTTATGATTCTGTATAAGGCGAAATTGTTCGGGAATACAGCTTCCCGATTCGGATCCATGGTAGGTTTGAGAGTAGATGGATAGTGAGTGGAGGGATTTCGCCCATTAGCGTTGTTGATCGAAGTTTGCCAGAGCTAGGCGCTTCGCCTCTCGAAGGCTCGCGTTTCCGGAAGGCCTGTTCCCTCGGATATTCAGTCTTGGCATCAAGCTGTGGCGCAGTCTGCCGAGCACGATAGTTAGAAGCTCCCGGCTTCGTCATGGTGACCAGGTGGTTTTCTACCATGGTTACTATGATCAATAGGAGAATTTCATGCATATTCTGCAGCCCTGCTGGGTCACGCACGATGCTGGGTGTATTAGACTTAATCAGGTCACAAGGAGACTCGGAAAACTCATCCATCATTTGGGATACACTTATTCCGAAGAGTTGGAAGCACCTACTCAGACGTCTCTTATCTAGCCCGAACTAATTACTATACGGGTGCGCTGAGCAACCGTGACAGATGTAAATGTGATCACGGATGAATAAGAAATGATTGTGTAGAACGAGAGAAATCGGAAGTACGCTTCTGACTCCTATCTAAGACCTATCTTTCATCGATTCTGATGTTAACTTTTTGGCCTACAAACCAATGGTCATTTCATATCGAGGGATCTGCATATAGCCCTCATTATTGCAATTGAATTTTTCACCTGATAACGTGACGCTCACCTTACACCAGAGTGCAAGTGTTGACTGTGCTAGCCTCAAACAGCATTTAGCATCGTTTTTCTTTCCCTCAATTGCTAATCTTGGCACATGTGTCTCCTTACAAAACTTGCGTTGACTGGAGACCTTTGATAGCACGCCCACCAATGGAATGTTCCCCTCTTTTCTACTGTTCTCCTGTTCGTCATTCCTGATCTATCCCTAGGTTTCACTTGTGGTTGTGGCAGCGCAGTGATGTGATAATGTGATAGAGGAAAACTTAAAACTTATGTACCCTTCACGAGGGACCAGTAAACACCAGGTCGTCTGACATGTAATAGCGCACTTGAAAGTGATCTACTTCTGCGAGCTCAACAATAACTCCAGGCCATCATCGTGTTGTTGATCCTTATTGGAAGAACTTCTACGAGGCTGAGGACCGTCAGAGCAGGAGCAGGTTGACCGATGGATTGGTCGTTTTCACAAGTGTCAAATGCTGATGGTTTCGACGAATCCAATCACGATTTTTCCTGATTTTAAAACTACTTAGTGGGCTAATTAAAACTTGAGTGTTCCATCACCATTTATTTTCTTTCTCGGATCTCCTCAGATGGGCTAGTCCCCGAATTATCATCACTCGTATTTGAACATCAATCTGGAGGAGCTCACAGATGAAAGTTCACCCTCGAATTAAGATGTCTTAACTGGAGACTTAAGTGAATCTCAGAGAGAGAGACACGCAGAGATACGCTTAAATTTGGAATCCTTCTACGATGTCGTTTGATATGTTAACTGTTGCTACGTTACCAGAGACATATTTGCCGTTTCACTGGAAAACCTCTACCCAACATTTCGCTGTGTGATCACTGTGAAGATGTTTTCACGCACTATTCACATTCAAAGCGCTTTTATTAGTTTACATATCCCTCGTATTTTCAATCAACCCTTTCCTTTTCCTTATAGGGGACGGCTCAAAGACAATTCCACCTAGACACATCGAGTGGAAGATTCTCTCTCAAATCTAAACTCGATCGGGAGAAACAAAGTCGTTATGCGTTCAAAGTAAGTATTGCTCACATGAAGAAACTTGCTGCAGAATTATTCCTCAAATGCCTTCTACCTGTCCAAGTTTAGATAGACCTCTTGACTGACGCCAAATGGCCACGGAGATTAGATGGATCCATGAGTGTTGTTTACAACCCTCATTCTGTATGTGAATGAAGCATGTGGAACAACTAAATGGAACAACAAATTTGCCTTCCTCACAAACAGTATGCCACAACTGTGGTTGGAGAGCCCATGTTCACCATACCTCCGAATCCTGGTTGACTTACTTTACAGCACTCTGGAATGACTATAGAACGCTACACTTATTCCAACACCAGAAATTACTTTAAGTTGACCGCATCGCGGTGGGACAGTGTCCTCGTTGTACGACGAAAGGTGAAGCAAATATGTCCTATGTGACAACCAAATGAAGGCTTTCCAGTAAGTGACTTACTTCAGTGAAAGTATCGGACAGTAAGGTAAGGTAACTAAACTGAACTGATGACACGGTAAAAATAAATGCTGCTTGTGGTTAACGGCCGACATCAATGCAGGTTGTCAAAGTCCTAAAATAGGACCGAGGATGTGAGGCCACTAGGAATGGTAACTTTGAAAATAGGGCTGTCATGAGAGTTCACTTCTTGTGCCTACTTCCAGTGAATACGTCTTTTTGAGCGAGCCATCGCATCACTATTAACTAACTGCTGACAGCGTTCCGGCAGGCAAACTGGACGACTTTTATTTCAAGCCTGTATTGATGACTGTACTGATGATTGTCTTGTTTAGCAAATTGTCCAAAAGTGAACGATTTAACGAAGGTTAGGCTTTTGGCATTTTAATAAAACTAAGATCTTATGCGGAGACTTGCACACAGGAAATGAAAATTCCCGGAGCAAATAAATGTTTTCCCCAGGGGATATTTGGTCCTGTAAAAGAGGCCGACCCATTCTGAAAAATCTAACTGTATTGTAAAGCTGACCCATTCATACATGGATTCATCAGGAATGCGCATCTCACGAAGATTCAGGGATTTCCGAAACTGCGATCTTCCTGATGATAGTTGGAACACATTTTTCATGCACAAGAGGTCAAACGCCTAAAGACAGTGTCCAGACTACCAGCCACGAGGTCGCGGGTTTGAGTCTCCCTGAAGTTTCGTTAAATTCTATGTGACGGTAAAGCAGCAAGACTGGCTTGATTTGTAGGGTGAAATTTCCATTAAAAATTCTGAAATCCCCTCTTGCTTTTCTTTATGTTTCTTTTTCAAAAAAAAAACGCCATGCTGCTCGGAGCTGTGAAAATTACATGTACTACTGATAAGTAATGTAGTCACAATCATTGGTGGACCAAAGCTGGTACAGCACACAGAATTCCGTCTACTTACTTGGTGGGGGCAATCTAAGTTTCCCTCCGATGCAAGATAACAGGAGATCAATCAGTCTCATCTGTTCGTGTGGGAATTGTCTTTACAATCTAAGGCTTGAATTTCGAGTCGAATCACACAAACAAAATCGTGTTATCCGAGCGGTTTAAGTCTCCAATTGTTTGACATATCAGACATCATATATTCTGCTCCACCAAAGTGGCATATCCTCCCAAGGGACCCGGAAGATGATGTAGCTGATTTTTCTAGACATCTTTGAAATCACGCTTACCCTGACTAGTGTAGTATTTTGACAGTTGTATGGAAATGCCAGACGCATGTTTAGTGGATACCAGGTCTTTGCTCGGTAAGCAATGAGTGAGAGACTAGTAATCCGCAGATTGACCGGAAACCTAGTTGCGCAGTGCGGGGTCATCCCGTACTAACGTTGCTGTGGAACGATTGGTACGCACCTCATGAGTGTGATTCGGTAACAAAGCTGAGTATTCTCATCGAATTTTAGTGGTGACCAACAGGCAGTTAATCATTTGTACCGATAACTTGTACCAAACAACAGTGACTTAAATATCAGGAGCCTATCATTACGCGTTAGTTGACTCCGGTTTGGCTACTGCGAATTAGAGAATTTTTTAGGTGCCGATATTGAATGCTTGATTGACTCATAATGGCAGGCTTGCGAAATTCTGCCACAAAACCGAACGGCTGCTGGCAACCTCCAACTGCGTTCAACTGAGGGTAGCCAGGCAGCTCCCATCCCAAAAAACAAACTCTGCTTGTGGATTTTCATAATACACTTTGAACAAAGTAATTTCATACGCTTTACAAGATAGGCGCTCTTCGAGTCGTCCCGTTTATGGACTTCATGTGGGGGGAGGCTAAATTTCATGGTTGGAAATCCATAAGGCATCGCTCAATCGTTTTTCACTCTAGATTGGTCGTGCACTGAACAAGAACCAAACGCTGTTTGAGGTTATCGTTCATTACCAGACAGACAAGCCGGGTGGCGTCGGTTTTTTTCCGAAACAAAATTTGGGACAAAACTTCCGGTGTTTATCGTTCTTTTTCATCACTAACATCTGGCATAATTTTCGGTTCCTCTTATATTTGAATAAAACTACTTCGACCTAAGCTCAGTCTATTTGCCAAGTGCACTGTATCGAATAATTGAGGTCGGAGTTTTGACGACTAGGCAACAAGGCCTATCTGATTCGCAGGATTTAGTAACGCGCCATGGCATACAGTCGGAATGCATTTTGTCAATTTGTCTTAACCCTTGCAAACGTTGTTCCAACAACCATTTTCGTCCCTCTCAACTACTGCTCTGATTTAGTGAACAAAGTTACGATCTTAAGAATTCAAGTTGGATGATGCGTCTTGCACGTTACCATGGCGCGTGCCCAAGGGCAACAAAACTAGCTTGAAAGCAAAACTGCAGTAAAACAAACGTTTGTTGAACCATCAAAGAGACTTTGAACCGGTCTGTGTCGGGGCAGAAGCAAACGCCTGTCTTTCTTTTGTGGTGTACGATGCAGAAAAAGTATGGTGAGAACAATCTCCCGCATGCCATGTGTTACTAGCATGTTATGTTTTTTCCTTTCCAGGTGTACGCAACAGACCGAGGGATCCCGAAACTTAGTTGTGTCAGTGCGGTTATTGTCCGTGTGTTGGATATCAACGACAATGCCCCGAAGTTTGTCTACCCGACACAAAAGAATCACACAATATACGCGTCTGTTTACACAAGCCCGGTAATTTTTTTCGAGGGATCCTCATTAGACCTGAGCGCAGTATTCCATCTTACTACGTGATGTATGTCCTTTTAGGGAAATTATTTTATACCTGCTTGTCGGAGAACAAAGATGTGTAATCTTTGTCTTTTTTATTACTACTTGATGTCAGTCAAATTAACAAATGTCTCCATGAACGCGCCGTCCTTTAAACGCAGATTTCGATTTGACTCATCCATCGGTCATAATTATGAATGCATTTCAGGGTGTACCGCTGGTCAAGTTAACAGCCGTGGATCCGGACGAAGGACAGAATGCACAGCTGTCATTTTTTCTCGATGATACAACAGAACACGCGGAGATATTCGTCCTTGATGAAAATTCCGGAGAACTCAGTCTGGCTGCGACAAACGAACCGGAGAAACTCGAGGGCAAATATAGTCTGGTTTTACGGGTATGTTAACTTGAATTTTATCGTCAATGCACATTCAGTTATCCCATTAGTACATTTTCATCCAGTTCAAGCAGTTTCAGAAGCATCAGCTCCACTGACAAATATCAATAAGTTCGACAAAATGCTTCATCCCAGTCCAGTGTTTTTCTCGGATTATGCTTTTTTATATTCCAAAGCTAACGGAAACCTACGAAAAGTTCTCTTCACAGCTTTCACCATTTGTTCATCACTGGCGAGAGAGAGAGAGACAGCCTTCGTGCATTCTTCATCCTGATGGCCTGGTTCATAAGTGATAATTGATCCGATAACCGTCTGCTTTGGTTTGTGCCAGAATCGACTTTGATAAGCAGTTTTCATGCAATCAAACTAAGCAATCGATGGACATCGTTGTTCGATATTTTTTATGCACGTGGCTAATTTGAGCTTCTCCAGATTTTTCTTCCTCTAATCATAAACTGCAAGAAAGGTTTTATTAGGCTTGGGGAATCTGATGGGGCTTTGGGCAAAAATATCGATGTGTAAAATACATGCGGAAAGGCGAGTGCTGCCTGTCAAAATATAAGTTACCTGAAGCAATCCTAAGCCAGGGTGACCATCTGAAATCCGAATCTGGCTGCGCAGTAACTTTAAGGACATTTTCAACCAAGGTATAAGAAAGGTTTGTTAAATTGTTTAAAAACTGACATCATTAGTGGGTGAGTAACGACATGATGCAATCGCTGCTTACGTTATTCAAATTGCAGTACTATGTCACAGCACATTAGAAACCAGTTAGTCAGTATAAGCATTGAGGGGGGGGGTGGCATCACATCAGAAAAGGAAGCCGACCTTAGGGTGAGCATAGCAATCTGACTGCTGACTTCCACAGAGATCAGAAAACCGGTCGGCGACAGTCAGTGAAAGCGGATTCAGGCAGTTCAGGCCTAAACTGATAGATCACCGTTGGTAAATTTCCACTCATTCTGCCTTTCAAAACCAAATCACAGAGCTAGTTGCTGCAAAAAAAAACAGTTTGACTTTCTAAGAATGGTGACCAATGGTTTCATGATAAAGAAACCTTTGGTGTGAGACTCGATAAGAATTACTTAGAGTGGATAATCTCCCAGGTTCGAAGATATTCTGTAATCTCATTAGGGGATCTACACAATTACGGAGACAAACAGCCTAAAACTGGTCGATAACAACGAAAACCACTGACAGTGACGCAGTAAGTTTTGACGTTCGGATAGCTAATCTGCAAAAAACCAGATGTTTTTCAAAACAATTTCATTGGTGTAAAACTTCCCTGGATACAAACCAGTAAGATGGTTGGCACAAACACTGAAACAAGTACGCAGTCGGCTGTTAACCCATATTGGGTAGCCTTCACCTGACAGTATCGACAGCTCAGCTGAATGTTCAAGGTCAACTTCGCAAGTTAGTACAACATACATGTATTTACAGATGTGCCTCTATGTGAAAGCACAGGATCCAAATGTAATTCCCTCCACATGAAAGACATCAAAAGTATGGTAGTAGCAAGCAAACTGAAACGTCCGAATCTGTTTTGGAAAAAAGTAATGTCAGACTCGGCTTCCAATGTTAATAACAAACAGATTGATGGTCTTCATACTAAGTCCGTTTGGTCTTGTTCTAGCTGGTGTATTCATGGCTGGCATTTACGTGCGAGAAGAAGATCTTACTGGAAGGGTGAAATTCTGAAAAAGATGTGCACATGATTTGTTGGTGGTTACATGATCACTGCCATAAACATAGAGCTGCTCTAGGCACTCACAACCGCTCCCCTGAACATAAAGATAACAATTGAGCATGGAAGGAATGAAACGGTGGCCTTACTTGATATCCAGGTAACCAGACTAGAGGTATAACCCTTCGTAACTCAGTTCACAAAAACGTAATTGGTGCCGATATGTCACGAAAAGTCTTTGAACGTTATTTGACGCAGTGAGGAACGTCTGCATTGAAGAGAGTATCGACATCGTACCTGGAGACACAAACCTGTGAAAATGTTTCAATCATAATGATGCCCAAAAGAATTTGTATAAAACCTAGAGTAGGTATCTCAGAATTTGGTTTCAGTCTCAGTTCACTGTGCCGTTAAATGAGATCGTTAGTATATTATTTTTCCACAGGGTATTTATGATCAGCCCTGAGGCATCCTAAGATGAATCTGATAAGCAGATCCGGCGTGCTCGTGGAAACAGAATTAGATAACATTGTTTCCGCCTTAAGGAAACAAATCCAATGGAATATGTATTTTTGTAAGCGCCAGGTTTTAAGGACCTGAAGGACCGGAGTTTGATGAGTTATTCAAATAACGTAAATAATCATCAACTTCATGTGTTACTCTGAGGCGTTGGATATCCTTCATTGCTACTGCCTTTTCGTAAATTAACGTCATCTTCAGCTGTAGCTGAGGCTGTTGCGATAAAATGATTCAGTCCTTCACAGCGTTCCTAAGATTTATTTCGTATCTTCTCATTGACTGATCAATCTCAAAACACGCGATCAGTATTCCAGCGTTCGCAGGAATCAGCAGTGATTACATTGAGCCACTTTTGTGGGACAAATCACGTGTAAAGTCTAAGTTCATAATTTTGAGGGGAAGATATATGGGTCACGTGCCCTAGGTAGCTCCGTTGATAAGTTACCCTTCCGGTAAATGGCCGGTGGTTATTTTGTGTTCACCCAGTGACATGGTCATGCCTTCTGTGAATGGACGTCTCGATTCAAGATGCGACTGTACTATTCCAATTTAGTGATACCTGCGTATGTCCCTCTCACGCTTTTGTTCTGGCTCTGCAGGGTATCCATTGGTTGGTTCATATCCGGAACAGATGTGGAGACAAACTGATATTCCGAAGAACGTGCATCTCACAAGATCAGACTGTTGTTCGATAGCTAATGTAAGATTCACTGACAAAACATGCAATTTGGTTATAAAAAAAGCCTAAGGTTGACAGAAACTTGGGGGCTGCGCTTACCTGATGAGTCTCAAGAGAGGCGGAACCGGTCGTGCGCTTTCGAAAAGTTTTCAGCAACCTTATGAGTAGTGAATTACAAAATTGGTATCCTTTATTAGTCAGTCTGGAATCTACATCATCTGCCGGTTAACGGTTCACTCCGGAAAAGTTTTCATTTCAAGCTTTTATATCATGTTTTCTCACAAAATTGTCACGCTGAATGTTGCAAATATGGGGACTGAATGACAAAAGAAATAAGATGTATTTTATGAAAATACGATGGTGTATGTGTGACTGAATGCTACTCAGATTAAACAAGCGTTTCTTTCCCTAGCACACTAGTTAGTATAAATTCTCAGGTCATGTCCATCGAGTTAGAGGTGGACATTTTTAAGCTTTGATTTCCAATGGAAAAGAAAAATAGGGGAGGAAGTGAATAATGGGAAGATGGCACCAAAATGATTCTCACTAGTTAGTACGCGTTAGATTTATGGTTGGGGACATACTGCAACTGACCATGAAGCTTGGTTTTGAAGCTAAACTCCCGAGCATAATGAGGTAATACGCTAATGGTATTCATAAATTGATAATGCAGTTGATTCAGAACAACTGTGAGTGTTGTGAATACTAAATGACACGCCTTTTAATATAGCCATTTACTTTGTCAGGACGTTGATTTTCTCACAAGATAAGCTTTGTTGCAACCTTTGGACTGCATGCCATTGTCCAACGGGTTTAGAGAGGCGCCATCAACAAGGGTAGTTCCAATTTCCCTGCGCGTGTTTCCTGCACATCAGTCGCGTTGATCAGTTAAATTAGATGGCGAAAGTCACTGTTTTATTCTCTCTAACCCTTCATCATCTCTTTTATTTGCCCCAGGTTCAGGACGCCGGCATACCTTCGCTTTCATGTACAGCAAATATTAATATTGTACTGAATCGAAATGCAAAGCTATTCGGACCTCATTCCGTGCAACCAAGTCTTGTTGGAAAGCAACTCCAGCTTGACTCTTTCGGGAAAGATCAATCTAGTCGCCAGGCGAGATTCGAATCTAGTATCTCCTCTTCATCTGCCTATCAGGAAACAAACGCAAAGGGGAGAAACATGCGGGAAAGGACGCCTGATGTGTCTGGGAAATGGGACCCACAAACTGTTCGCTATGTGGCTAATGATGCATATGGAAAGCCTGAGGATGGAAAGGGGGATGCCGCACAGCCATTCAACTACTTGTCTTCTGAAAAGGCTCTTGTTGCCGTCATCTGTCTAATTGTACTATCTGCGTTGGTAGCATTCGTCTTCCTCATAGCCATCACTCTGATCCGGAGAAAGGCGTCTGCCTTGCACTTGAGAAACATACCAGCATCAGGAGCGGCCGTATCAGCGGCGGGGATGCCGAGGATAAACGCAAGAATCGCCAATACGTACAACAGCAAAGCCCGTCAGCTCAGTTGTACCTCAGACAAAGTAATGTCAGCCAGATACGTGAAACCACCTATGACTACCACAACAGCATGGGTTGTCGGTGATCTGAAACAGTATCCTACACTTTCAAGAAGTACTCTAAATTATTCTGGCCTCGAAGCCTACAGAACGCTGTGTCACACTCCTGCTGATTGTCTAACATTACAAATGCGAGCTGGAGACCATGACTCAAACTCTGGAAAAATTGAGGTAAGAGAACCAGATTTCTTGCCTGTGCTTTTCGTACGGTTGTCCTGTTTTTGTGAGAAAGCACGAGCTCAAACATATATCAAAAGCTAGTTTTAGTGCATCACACAAAATCCGTGTTAATTTACGTGACTCTGTTAGAGAAGGTCACCTTTGTTCTGGTGCTTCGGGTGATCGAGCTGAAGGAGGCCATTAATTTTTAGACTCCACCAACATATTTAAACAACAGGTGTGAAACAGACTAAATGAATCGGTTTCACTGTGTCTTTGCTTATACATGTTTCGTGAGATGTGAAATGCTGAGATAAGTAAACTGTTTTGAATAAAACTCAACTATAATGACCCATAATCCTTGGTTAATTGAGTACGCATGCGTTTCTCTCATATTTGTCTGTGGTAAACGTCAACTATGAGGCCCATCCACTAGAACAAGAGCCATCGGTAAATAAAGAGAAGAGCTAAACTGGAAATGGTTTTCCCCCGGCTTGGTCTGACACTCTTTTGCCGACTTCTGCGTTATAAGTCTCAAGAAGAAGTTGTGAAGGGGGGATAAGATTTTACATGTGATGCGGGTGCACCCATAGCTACTAAGAACGACACCTCTACAGCTCACTCAGCAGAATGTCAGTTAAAAACATACCGAGCTCCATGAAATAACCAAGAATCAACTGTCGCGTTCGTGTACATTACAATAACTCTCCCCTCAGAAATTCACTGTACTTCGGCCCTATGGGGCTTGGTCAAACTTTCGTGTGCCGAGCTTGTCAGCCGTCAGATTCTTGCTAAGCATCAATGATTAGTTGTAGAAACAATCCAAGTATTCATCAGTAGTCACAAACTTCTATCAGTTGCCAGTGGTTGAAAATTTTTAGAATCTACAGCCTTATCACTCCCTTTTGGACGCTTGTCTTCTGTTCTGATGCAATCGTCTTGGTGCGGTGATTCTGTCTACCACTTTTAAAACAAAGATTCATACCTTCAGACAGAATCGAGACAGCAGTGCCACGACAAATTTCACCCCACCTGAAGATTGTATGGATCTCGAGAACGCACCAAGCTGTGGTATTTCGGGAAAACAATGTTAGTAACAGCAAAGTACTCACAAAACTCTACCTGTGTTTTCTGTTGACAATGGATAAAAACAAGTTACTTTATTACTTTTGTTGAAAACTATTGCCCGAATTCCCGTGGATTATGTAGCATAATGCAATATGGAGAGCGCAAGGTTGATTTTGGGTTGGCAGACAAATTATTTTTACCAGTGGTAGATAAATAGCTCAAACACCCGGTGTGGTACCGAGTATACAACGTTTTTCCGCAAAATACTCGTTCAAAATATCAAGAGTCTGTTTTCGAAAAGCCAAAAGCCCGTGGACGTCTCAGGCCTCAGAAGTGGTTAACATTCAAAAATATATACAGGCTGACTGAAACGAGACTTCAAACTAGAATTTACGGATTTGTAATATACGAAAAAAACTTCATGCTGGTTGTGAAGTAATCCCGTTAAGATCAAACCAGTTCAAGAACTGTCCATTTCCAAATACGTACATATCAGCAAGACTAGGAAAGCATGGGGGAATGTGGTAAAATGAACAGACACGCGGGATTTTAGTGTTGTATTTAGTTTGCCACGCTAAAAGATGTAGCTTCAGATTCGCCGCTGTCTAGGCACTGGGCTGTGTACGGGATGATGGAGTTATACAGGTTTACAGTGAGAGAAAAGGTGAACTGATTTTTGAAAGATTGATGGAGTTCGCAAAATCTCTTAGTAGGGTAGAATGAACGAGACGTTGACAGTTGGATTGGATCCTCTGCGAAAAATTATAAAGAATATCGTTTTGCCTGTTGACCGCAGTGTCAACAGTATCACCCTTTGATGATTCATCATAGTAAAAAAGTGCTGAGGGAGCCTTTGAGTGAAGCAGTAGACTTGCAACAGAGAATACAATAGGAAAGCAGTAGATTCAGTTTAGAAGGGGGTTTTCAGCATAAGAATTTAGGTTGCAGGCTATATAGAGGGTTCTGCTTATGAGTGCGAGAAAAGTCGCTTTCATTGTTGTGTTGAATGTGGACTTAACAAGGTAGGACTATCAGAGGTTGTTTGAGATGTCTAGGCTTTAACACATTACCCTAGACGGTCCTGGAATAAAAACCACACCAAAAGTAAAGGAGAGGAACGTACGTGAGCGATTCTTTGGAAAGCCTTCCTGGAATGAGGTTATTTTTTATTATGAAATTCAGCAAAATTCAGGGCATTGGATTAGAGTGGACGGTCTTGAGAAGACCTTAGCGGTGCATAAAGTCTGGCTCACGAATTTACATGCACCAGAAGTCTCTACATCGTCAACATATTCAGCAGCTCATACGCTAATGACGCACAAAGAAACACCAACCTCCCAGTGAATACCTGAGCATTGGCCATCCACATCTTTAGACCACGTCTGGTCTTTGAACTTGTCATTAAACTTCAGGAGAGGGTCACCAGGACTTTCAAAACTCTTCTATCGATGCTGACAAACGGATCCATGCTGTCAAGACCTCTATTACGGTCAGGTGGAATGATGATCAAGCGTAACAAGTAAACGACAGCGTCTAATTATGCATACAATCTCCAGTAAACAAAGACTGTAGTTTTCGGGTAGCACAGTGGCCACTTGTTTATTTGAAAGCATTATGTTTAAGAGTTTCAAGCAAGCATTTATCCAATACCTCTTTCCTTGATGCGGAGACAATCCTTGTCACCCTCCAAAAATCATTTATTTTTCCAAGACGATTACATCAACTGAACAAGGCAGCCACTGGTTCGATGAACATTTCCGCCAGAACTTCGAGCAGCAGTGGTGGGTGGAAAGCAGAATCACCTGTGTTTTCAGTCTTGTGATTGATAAGTATTCATGCAACCGATCATTCAATCAACATGATTGGATGTTTGAGGTAAACACTGCGACTAATTAATTCGCGGTCGAAGTAGATTGTCGCTGCAATCTGCTTCAGACAGACCGCTGACAGACAGCTGAATTCATCATCGATGTCAGCATGCAGCCATATCTCTATCCACACCAAGGCACCAGTGTGCTGTCTTTTTTCAGTCAAATGCCTGATCTTTGCAAGAAGCGAACGGACATTGCTTGAATTAGGTTACCATGAATGCATTCTGCTGATGTTTTTCCGGCCAAGGGATACTAGCCAACAGGTACAATGATCTGCTCCAGAGTGGTCCGCCTGTTACCAGTCCTGACGTTTTGATCGAATTCATATGATGGAGTGAAAACGCTCCAAGATTTCAGGGAAGCGTAGTGTGTCATTATAGCGTAGTTTGCTAATTTAAACAAAATGGGTACATTGCGTCATGCTTGCACAAGATAATATCTCTCACACAGGAGCACATTATATTCCGAACATCTCCCGGTGAAACTGGCGAAGCGAGATCATTTCTTTTATAATAGCTTCCTTCTTGATACTGCTGGTTCTGAATTCCACGGGCCTACCTAAATTCAGCCTTTAACAATACCTAGGAGCCGAGCAATGTACCAAAAGGATATCAAAGAAAGCAAACTTGCCCTCTTAGGTCTCCGCTGTTTTAACGTATGTATCCTGAATGACGCAAGCAGCACGTAAAACATCAAGAATCCTTCCTGAAATAGTCTCTTTGCACATTGAGTGTGTACAGTTCTCAATGGCGTCCTAATGGTTCTCACTGTCCACATACGTAGGAGCAGTATGTGGTCACCCATTGCATAGGTTGGACCCAGATTTGATTTGCTTGCAGGGAGAGTTGTCTGTGTTGGAAACTATCAGGAAGGTCCGATCCCTGAAAGTAACCTCAGAACACCGGGGACCTACTGCTCCACCAAAATCTCAGAAGGAAAGCCGGCAAGCATCCAGGCCGGTCAATCGTTCAATCGATTCAGCAAAAGCCAGTGAGTCCTCATGCACGCCACAGAAGCACAACCGAATGTGATCAGTGTTCAGGCATTTCATAGAGGCACGACCGATGTTAATGGGTGTTCACTAATGCCTATCAGGCAGCCTGGATCAATGTTAGAAAGTCCTCTTTAAATAGCGTGGGACCGTTGTAACTTTTGCCCTCGTACTCGGGTGTTCGGACTATAGCTGTTGTGTTCGCTTCCGTGAGTTTTTTCAGGCACTGGGCACCGGAGCGGGTCAGCAGCAGATACCACGAATTGGCGAATCAGCAGATATAACAGAAACCTAAAAGTGAGAATACGTGAAATGATTCACAAAAGAACGGTTCTTTTAACCGAACTCAACCATTCCAACTGACTAATCATGTCAGATTACTTTCTGGTCTTTTTCCACTTTCACCTTCTGCTCTCACCTTTCACCTTTTGCTTTCACCTTCTGCTAGACATGCCTCACAGAAATCTGAGGTGCACATTTGAAACCTCTTAAATGGCTGGCAAAAATATGCACACAAAATAGACAAGCTTAATGTACTGGCTAAAGAATTCGTCCACGAGTTGCTCGGACGTTTTTAAGGTTGCCCCAGAAAGATTTGACTGGGAATGTTTAAATGTCGCATGGTTCCGCAAGTGACTAAAAAGACAAATCAAAGTGGTAAGTCTTCCGATTTTGTCAAACATCGAGTGCGCCCCCTTGAATCACTGCAGTGGTCCAGCTTAATGCCTCTCCTACGAGGATTTCCTGAATCGCCGTATGTATAAAGTCACAGGCCACTGCCTGTGCGTTTTCACGCATTTTGTTGACTAGCGTAACAATTCCTGTTTTTTGACTCCACGTCAAACCAGTCTCAGATACCAAAACAAATTCCTTATAACGCGTTGGTTACTCATCTGATAAACCTGAAACTAAGGTTTTATGAAGGAGAAACGCCATCGCAGACAAAATGCTACCTACTCAGTGACATCGGGTCCACATAGAAACAGCAGTTGTGCAAGCACGCAAACTTACTGTTAAACTTCCGTGATTTTTGAAACCTGTCACCCTGTCGCAACAACAATCAACCGATCCCATCCTAATAAGCCTAGTTGCTTGTGATTCACGTACTTCCTTCTAAATTCTGATTGTCTTCCTCTGTATTTTTGAGTTGTGCGTGTGTATGGCGAACAGTTGACAATCCGAATCACTCGGAAACCCCTCGTTCGTATTAAATGGAGACCTTCGGAGACAACTTCATCCATCCAGTGAGGCTGGCACCACTCATAAGCTGCATCGACAAATGTCATGTATAGTGTGAGTGATTGATCGCACAACCCACTCTACAGAGGAAACTGGTCTGGGGATGCTGAAAACCTGTGGACCATAAAACAGCTGTGAAACTGTGGTTTTAAAAACCCTAATCACGACTCATCCTTGACTAGAACCGGTTCCGTAAGCAGTGGTGTGTTCATTAGTGTTGTTACAATCAGTTATACTCATTCGACGAAGTCCTCCATAAAGTGTAGGAAACGAGTTTGTTTACAGTGCCATATCACCAGGTTAATGTACGCCGTCAGCCAGTAGGGTGAGTATTGAGTGGGAAAATGGAGAAAAGACACAGCGAAACATGGTGCACTAATTGGTACCAGAAGCTGCTCGAGAATTAGAAGACGAATGGCTGATATATTGGAAAGTCGTATACCGACAAAGTCTATGCTATGGTCTAGTTTGTCCGGGACGAATCGTGTACGTATTGGTTGATTCAGATGATCGAAACGAGGTTCACTTTGGAAGCCACGGAATTGAAGCGCAGCGTGCAGAAGACGAATAACAGAGGCCAGAAAGGCAACAGCGTTCAAGTGGTGATGCTTTACGTTTTGCTTTAATTGTTCAAAGTGGGCATCAGGCCTTGTCTTAAAAACGGTGATGGAGATGAATTTACAAAGAGAATACGGACGTTTCATGGCGGTTTTTGGTATCTTGACCTAATGAGCACGTGAACTAGCTATCGAGGCCGACCTGGGTGTACGATCTACTAAAGTTTGGGTTATTCTGAGCATTATATGGTGTTTATTCGACACCCAGTTTGAATAGCTCTCGAGTTTTTATTCATGAAACATAACAGTATCTGGCAAAAGACTGAAATGAGCCCCCATTATTCAGTTGGGTTTGTACCTAGAGCCTTCGAGTTTCTCTAGAGGGCCAGACTGACCGCAGGCATCACTTGCTATACAGTTTCACACCAACTCTAACTTAAAATTGTTCTCACGACCAACTCTCGGGGCAGTTTTCCACGGGGAAGTTTTGTTTCCCATCCCTATGATGTGACATCGGAAATAATCTCCTTCTGTCGGTTCTTTGCACTATTATTCAGCTTAGGTGATGTAGGCTAAGCTTCTCCTAAAACGGATGCCTCCCAGTAGCCCCTCTCCTACTAGCCTGGGATGATGCCCCGTCATACTCGGACCTGCAATATACAAGGACCTAAAAGTCATGTCACCATAACCAACCCCTCCTAAAAAGCGAAGCGTTTTATCCGACGCTTCTGATTTGTTTTAATTTAGTAAAGTGCTCTCGGGGCAAAAGTAATACAGAATAATTTCGAACTATCTTGATTCCTAAAACAACCACCGGATGGCAAATTAAGCCATCATTTTTTCGCATTCTATTCCGTTCTGATCTGAACGGAATCATATTGTCCGGCAGGTTATCGCTACCGCGTTGGCGAGATAATCTACTGCTTGGATTTGATTCAGAAAAGTAGGGACAAACTCCATCAATCTTATCTTATTTGCGTGAGTGGTCACTGCCAGACTAGATGTAAGCTTGCTTGTTTGGTCGAACAAACTGGATTTAAGCCCAGTGGGCTGGTGTGGTAAGGGGACACTGAATTTAGTTAAGACTTTCCAGTCTAAACGATGTTTGCCAGTGCCTTTTGAACCGAGTGCACAAACTCGTTTGAGCTAACCGAACAAAGAATCCAGTGGTAACTACCCAAATATTCTCAATTTTCTGTATTTTCGCATCGTCTATGGTTCATTCTGCAGCAAAACCGTAATTTTTTTGCCTGATTTTTCCTAACTCACTGCCGGATAATTTGAACTTTGTGTGGGCTACGACTTTCCGATTTTCAGCCAATTTTACCTGCATTTAATGCAGAAAAGATGATTTTCATGACAGAATATAGTTGACATTTTCACTATGGTAGATGGAGATGTTCAACTTTACTAGTCGTAATGGAAGCAGACTGGAACCACACACGTTTCAAAAGGGACTTGACTCTTGATCTAAATCGGGCTCTGCGCTTGAGGAGGGAAGGACCAAGTTTGGAGTTTTCATGACAGAGAGCGAAGACGCTGAGGCAGCACCGCTTTGTGTAACTCGCCCAATCTGGAATGCCCTTTCATCCTTCAATGCTGCATAGCGCTAGCCTCACCCGATGCACTCCTGCTTTGTGGCTTGACCTTCCTTGCGCTAGCGGTCACTTTGTCGAGGATCATTGGTTTACGTGTGACTCAAATAGCCCGTATGTTAATTCTGACTGAAGAAGTAACCTTAAAAAATAAACTGATGGAACGGTAGATAGCATGACAGGGTATCCCAAATTGTACAACTAGGTGACCCATGCACCGCTAATTTTTCTACGTGAATGAGGCAGCTGTACAGGTTTTTCTCCGTTTTCAACGTAGGCTTGCTCAATTACAATATGAATTCTCTAGTGAAGTTTCGCAATTCTTTCACTATCTTAAAAATGAAATTATTCTTCCCGGAAGGAAGAATATCCCCACCGGCCATTCGGGCCTTCTACGCGAGAATTCATCATCCGAATGGCAGTCAACAAAAGATCACATGATGCAAACTAATTAATGTCAAACAAGGCAGTTCAACCTCAGAGCGATACCGACCAGTCATCCGTGTGCAATAGGCACAATGCTTCATAAGGAAGTCTCTAAACCCATTCCAAACGACCGTGTTGAAGTCCGATCAGCGTGGACAAACTCCACGATCATCTGAAAGCAAGAGTGTTAAATTGTCGTGCACCATGTGCGCACGGA